CAGACTCTTCATCTAAAATTGCACTAAATAAAGACATAGTGCCTTTGGAGTAACCTGCTGAAATATTTAGTTAAGTGGGACTGAATTGAATATTAATTCTGTAACTTTCTAATTCTCAGATACCTCACATTTCATGAACTTTGGTGTATGTAACCTAGTTAAGCACAATCAAAATAAAACTAAAGGGTAAGATGGAGAAAGATGCCACCCTTAAGAACAACATGCGTTTACTTTGGTAACACTTTAGCACCAATTCTCACTATTAACTAGTTGCTTAATAGTGAAGAATCCTTAGATCCTCACATCAACATTTTTATGTTTTTTTTTTTTTAAATTCATTTATAATCATTTATTCACATAATCATTTTATAATCATTAGTCATTCACATGATTTATTATTTGATTATTTTTATCATTTATCATTATATCATTTTAAGTATTTTATCATTTATTCACTTATTGTTTTATTATGCTTATATTTTCTATTATTTTTCTTGCTTATGCATTTCCATTGTTGTTCAATCTCATGCTTGTGGGGTTTCATGAACTGTTTTGTCTGTATGAATAAGAGATAGATAAGAGGGAATATTTATGGAAACCCAAGGTTTATGGGATGTTGTTGTGAATCAGTTTGATATATCATTACTTGCTGAATTTGTGTTCATTAGACGCACTTTAAACATTGAGACATACGCAACTAAGATTGTTCAATAAACTCTGTTACTTTTTACCATCAGTTTGATATATGATTACTTGCTGAATTTGTGTTCATTAGACGCACTTTAAACATTGAGACATACGCAACTAAGATTGTTCAATAAACTGTTATTTTTTACGATCATCACTTCGTCTCCTGCCTCTGCTCTTCTCTGGCTTTCCTCGGTCAACTTCTTGACTGACAGAAGACTGTTAAACACCCGTTTTGGGTATTTTTGAATATCAGACAAGACATGCTATTTTCTATGTGTGTGTGTGTGTGTTGTTCCATAAAGGTTAAAGCACTTAATGACATTTTCGCATTTTCTGTGACCCAATCTAAAGTTAAAATATACACTCCTGCCAATTAACAATGCCTTTACTAAGACCTAATTAAACAATAATAATTGTGTTAATTACAGTGACATTGAATGAAAAACTCACTACTTGTTTAGAGGCTATTAATGTCTTAACTACAGTTAATAGTGTAAACTATGAATGAACTATAAACTAACATTTTGCAAATCATTTGTAAGTACTTTAGTAGTGTATACTTATAAAGTGGTACCTGTTTTTTTAATGATCATGTGACTGAACATATAATATATGATCTCGACATCTATCAAGTCTGCTCTTCTCTGGCTTTCCTCGGTCAACTTCTTGACTGACAGAAGACTGTTAAACATGCGTTTTGGGTATTTTTGAATATCAGACAAGACATGCTATTTTCTATGTGTGTGTGTGTGTGTGTGTTGTTCCATAAAGGTTAAAGCACTTAATGACATTTTCGCATTTTCTGTGACCCAATCTAAAGTTAAAATATACACTCCTGCCAATTAACAATGCCTTTACTAAGACCTAATTAAACAATAATAATTGTGTTAATTACAGTGACATTGAATGAAAAACTCACTATTTATATACAGCCTATTAACAATGTAGAGACTTCAGTATAAACTAATAAACTATAAACTAATTACTTTATTAATGATTTGTAAGTACTTTATGCTTATTATTGAGTGATTCATGGAATAAGTACTTCAGTTCATCTTTTCACTTCAAAATAAAACTGTTAAGTTTTACTCCATAAAGCACTCCAAAACATCAGTGTCCATGAATCCCTCGTTATTAAACAGACACAAAAATTATTGATATTCAACATCACAAATCACAATTTTCCAAAGACACAAACTTAGATCAATTAATCTGTTTTGACTGACTAAATCCCATAAATGTTGATATTCAGATGAAATGACCAAATTGAGAAGAGGATAGCCATTCATCAAACATAAATATTTCAAAAAATAAATAAACATACAAATAAATAAAACATACATACAGTTGCATACATTGCATACAGTTTATTTATTTATAATGTACCTGGTAAGATATTGTTTTGCTGAAGTATTGTGCATAGAATACAACAGCTCTACCCACAGAAAGTGTGTAAATGACCATACAAATAACACGAATGCAAATTACAAATCAAAAGACATTTATGAATTGATAGACTTGTAATCTGGAGATACCAAACCGATACAGTATCAAAAATAAAATCTTTAAATTTAAGAGACCTACTCTTCTTCTGTAGCCTAAGATATACTGTAAAAGAGACCGGGGCAAGATGTCACACAGGGAAGCATGTAATGTTGGCCAAAACATTGTTTTGATATTTGATGTGTATTGACTGTTTGATCTTTGTTGCTGTTTTATAAATGATTCTGTTTTATAATTGTTTTACTGTCTGAAATTTCACAGTCACATCCACTGAATATCATAAAGCACACTTTAAATGAAATATTTGTGAAACAGTGCAAATGTTCAAAGGCTTTCTTAAGAATAAACCTAACCTGGTCAATATTTAGTGGAGTATAAAGTGTGACAACTAGCCCCGGTCGTACCTATGTTACACTGAAATAGAGTCAGAGATGCAAAAGTTCACAGACCCAAATGCCCATATCTGTGCTTCATAAATAGTACAGAAATAAATAATTGTCTATCCAGTTGAGTATAATACTTAGATTACACATGGTAATGATGACAAGTCCACATTTTTAGAAACTTGCTGAAGAAACCAGCATCTTCTATGAGAGAAACCACTTTACCATCCTGACCTTCATAGCATCCGTTACTCCATGCCTCTGAAACAAAGACCATATTATTTACATTAGTATACATTCTACCAGACAGATATCGACAAGTGCAGTGTCACTTTTCCTGAAAGTTGTTTGTGACGTCAGTTTCACAGTTTTCAGTGTTTCATGTTAACAAGATGATTAATCATGTCAGAGAAAGTTTTGTATTGTCAACTATATGTGAAATATTGCACAGTAAATGACATGTGAAGGGTGAGTTTTAATAGATTAAACCGCTCCCTGAACTTTAAATGCACCAGGGTATATAAATCTGACTCATTCAGTTTTATTCATTCATTTACTGATCACCAATTCGGAGAATACATTGATGGATGGATTTATTGTTCAAATAGCTGGCACGCATATAATGTTAGAAATCATAATTGTTTCAGAATCAGTAGGACTTTTTAATTAAAGCTAAATAATCTCAAACAACTAAAAAAAATTCTTCCACTCATCACTGCATTAAAATAGTTAAACAGAGTTTAAAGCGATCTGTAATGACCAGCATAAAGCCTTTCCCAGCGATAGCTATAAATCATCACCGTTTATATTTGACAGCGCATTAATCGTGTGTAAAAGAACTGAACGTATTGTGTTTAATCCTAATTCAATGGTAGCTTTATGAAATGTATTTACTAGCATTAAATCCCATCTTTGTGTTGCTATATTGAGCAAGCATTGTGGTCACGATGGTAAACAGTTCATTGAATGAAGGGCTTCACCTCATGTTAACTAACCCAGTTTATGAATTTAATCTGCATTGTGTTGCTGGTGTTTCTTTGTTCATGTTGAATAGATCTGCTCCGCCTGCAACTACACTTTTACCTGTAAGCCTCCGTCATAGACAAACCTGTTAGACCAAACCTATCCTTTAGTTTCTGAGGCCAGCTTGAGAAAGTAATTACATTATAATTCTTATTTTGTTGATAAATGCAGGAATTATGTATATAGATGCCCATATAATAAACATATAAGTATGGACGCCTATAATGGTTATCTGTAGAAGTATTAATTGATAAAGGATTTCTATACCTCTCTTATAGCAGTGTTGTGGTTTTCATCTCTGAGGATTCATCGTGTACATCCCGGATCGGTTGCCATGTTGTGCTTCTGGTTCTCCCTGTAGAAGAAACGATTTATTAGAGATCATGTCTGTCAGCTGTAATAACAGAATCATTAGACAAACATCTTATGTAATTATATGAATAATGGATAAATAAGATTTCAACACTTAAGTTATTGTATACCCTAAAGTTATATATTTCAAATACACTTATTTCATACTAAGTATAGTTCAAATCTATTAACATATTTACTGACAGATAACTCAAGACTTACTGATATAAAAACTATAATTAAACTTTAATTGGAGTACTACATGTGCACAACACACATTTCTTAATATTAAGTCTAAAATGTGTTTTAATGTCACTTGTGATGAGGATTGTATGATCTTTGAATAATATCGGTCTTTAAATGCAAGATATTTAAAGTGTACCTTAAGTATACTTGCAATAGTTCCACTTTAGCACAATCAAATATACTATGTATGTCTTTAATTGGACTTCAGCATTACTTCAGCACTCTTAAGCACAAAATTACACTGAACAATATTATAAACGCAACACTTTTGTTTTTGCCCCCATTTGTCATGAGCTGAACTCAAAGATCTAAGACTTTTTCTATGTACACAAAAGGCCTATTTCTCTCAAATATTGTTCACAAATCTGTCTAAATCTGTGTTAGTGAGCACTTTTTTCAAATACATTTAAGTACGTTTATTTTTCACTGGAGGATTGTTCCAATCTAAGCATAAAATATACACTTCACATGAGTAATAAACACAAATATTCTGATAATCTGATTGCTCAAAACATTTGCGACAGTTCCAAGATTTCAAACTGCACAAATTGTAGACAAAAATGGACACTTTTCACATTTCTGGGATTTACTCCAATAGCAAAAGAAAAATCAAGATAATGATTAAGGTGGTCAGAAAAGAGAAAGATTTGGCACCGCTCCCTCAGCCATTGTATTAGAAACACTCACACAGCTAGCCTTAAAGGAGTAGTTCCTCTAAAAATGAAAATTTTGCTTATAATATACTTACCCCAAGGCCATCCAAGATGGAGATGAGGTTAGAAATGAGGTTACATCACTTGCTCGCCAATTGATCCTCTGCAGTGAATGGGTGCCGTCAGAATGAGAGTCCAAACAGCTGATGAAAACATCACAATAATCCACAAGTAATCCTCACCACTCCAGTCCATCAGTTAACATCTTGTAAGTGAAAAGTTGCATGTTTTTAAGAAACAAATCCATCATTAAGATGTTTTTAACTTTAACTTCTGGCCAAAATCTATAAAGATTCTTCTAGTGAAAAAGTCCATCCTCTGTTGTCCTCTCACATCTATATCCACCCACATGTTTGTTTTGAACTGTTTTCGCTTGTAAACGGTGCTTGATCTGTGCATATTTCTCTCCTGATTTAGATTAAATAACTATTTCACTTGAGAAAGCAGTATTATGGATAGAGGACTCATATTTCAGAAACAGTTTGAAGATAAAAACATCTTAATGATGGATTTGTTTCTTATAAACATGCAGTTTTTCACTTCACTAGATGATAATTGATGGACTGGAGTGGTGTGGATTACTTGTGGATTATTCTGAGGATGATTACAGTTTCAGCTAATTTTCATTTTTTTTAGTGAACTTCTTTAAATATTTTTCTGAATTGTAATGCCAAGGTAATATAACAAAAAAGTATAATGTTATAAATGTACATTACATTAACAAAAATGAACATATAAAAAGCATTGCTAGGTTTACAATGTTAATTACTATGAAAACGCATCATCAAAGTCTGTGAACAGGGTCCATTAATTTATGTTTGCTCATCTAAATCACAATGTCTCATGCTGACTTAGTTCAATTTATATCACAGTCATATGAAATGAAGTTGTTCTTACCAAGCTCCGGTAGTTGGGGCTCCTCTCAGGTGTGTGTGACATATATGTGGGATTGGCAAGATGTTCTTTGAAAGACGTTCTCTCATACGGAGCAACGGTTTGTGTTTCTTCCTTTTTTTCTTTTCTCCTACAGCACCAAAAACATATCTGGAGAGATGGAAATGAGATTAGAGAATATCACAGCATTGTAGTGTTGACCATTTGTCCTGTTACTTTGTGAGTTAGTAAATTGTAAATGTAAAGTATTTACCAGTAGTAAGATGATGAAGAGAAGCAGTATGATGATGCATGCCAGCACTAGCAATGCAATGGCCCACCCAGGAAGACCCTCAGCACTAGATTCTGCAAAACTTGTTGACTTTGGAAAAAGCCAGGCAGGTGTGACTGTTTCTGCATGAAAAATATATACATTTTAGAATTCATTTATGTTAGAAAATTAGGTTTTCAAACACCATGAAACAGACTTACAAGATATAAACATAAACGTGTTGGACTAATGAAATTCCCCATGTTGTACCTGTGTTTGTTGAATGTTGGTGTGGCCAAAATAATTAAAATTTACATCGATGAATCTAATGGGAGCAAATTCATACATTCTGCATGGGTCTGATGATGAATACTCACCAGCTGTGTACTGTCTGTTGACTGCAAGACCGTTCACTTGAGTGTTATTATCTATGGCCCTCAGGAACAAATGCTTGATCACAACATGGTTGATAAAAATGGTCTGGAACTGGAGGGTACAATTTGCGATCACAGACCCGTTACTGTAATCAAATGAGAAACAAAATTTTGATTGATTGCAATATTTAATGCAGTAACACTTAATTACACTTAAAGGGTTAGTTCAACCAAAAATGAAAATTAGGCTGCGTTTTACTCACTCCCGAGGCATCCTAGGTGGATATGATTTTCTTCTGTCAGACGAATCCAGTCAGAGTTATATTAAAAATTGTCTTTGATCTTTCAAGCTGTTTAATGACACTCAGCGGGTCAGAAATAATCTAGTTTAAAAGAATATATTTTTGGAGTGAATTTTTAATGTTTCCTGACACTTAAATGAAAATGTGTTATAGTTTATATTTATATCAAAAACCGTTTAGAGAGCTTTTTTGACCAACTTATGTAGGGCTTAAGTATATCTTTATATAAAATTATTTCTGATGCCTTTGAGATAAAGATTAAAGTGTATTGCTGAATTATGACAAGGCTTTATAGTAAACTAAACTATGGTGATACTTTAAAATAATTTCTATTAAAAACCTGTAGGTCATGTATTTAAAAATATATTTGTAATAATTACACATTTGTAAAGATGACGCTACAATTTAGTAGCTATATATATAAAATATATTCACTTAAATTTTATATCAAACAACACACTATAGTTTAAATTTTAATCAAGTACTTTACATGTGCTTTAGTATGTTAGTCAACAAGTGCACCAAAAGACTATTAAAACATAATGATTTTTAAATGTTCTTTAAAGTAAAATTTTAATTTGTATTACAAAGTGTACTTTTTAAAAACAAAAAGTCTACTTAAGTGTGTTAAGAAACAGTCATGAAAGTGAACTTTAACATTATATTATCTTAACATTATATCACAATTTATTGTTACTCATTTATTTTCCACAGTCATTTGGGACTAATACACCTTTAGCAAAAGAATGAGATGAGATTTACCTGAACTGTATGTTTGTCACTCCTCTATAGGTTTCTCTTGTGTCACAGTCAGAGCAGTTAAAGGCGATGTCCAGCTGCAAAAATGAAACAAGATCATGTTCACAGGATCTCTCTTAGGGTCAACAACTTACATGTACTGAATATGTTGTTGCTGGTATTATGTATAAAATGGCTGCTCAAGTCAATAAAACTGGCACTGACATTTATTCATTCATAAATCACGGGAAACACTTACAACTCCAGCAACCTCAGCATACATGCGCTTGTACTGCTGTGAGGTAGAGTTGAGGAGAGCGTCGCTGAAGACGCGGTTGTTGATCTCCATGCAGAGGGAGAATGAGTACAGGGGTGAAGGGTAGTTCTGTGGCTCTGCCTGGAGGCCCTCCAGAATTTTTAAAAGACTGTAGGGCTCAGCACCTAGAAACGTTAAATGATTATTCATTGCCATGTGTGTGTGTGTGTGTGTGTGTCCTGGCATTCCCTACATTACAGGGACCCATTTTTTAGGATATTTCCCATAATTCAGCTCATGTCAATGTCAGATCATGACCTTTGACATCTAAATTCAATTTGTTTTAATCAAAATAAGTGTATTTTTAACTATTCAAGACTACTGACACTAGTTTCAAATTTGAGACAAAACTAGTACCTACAGTATAATGCTGAATTTGATGTATTTATTGATTTATAAATGTATCTCAAATGTATTGATATCAGATGTTTTGTAAATGCAAATAGCATATAATGTTATATAATATATTTTTTTCTTACAAAAACTGAAAGCTGTTTTACTCTTATGTTATTTTATGATACAAACATTATTGATTTTCCAACTTTGCTAGCACACAAAACACTTTAAGGTTCCATTGATTAACTATATTTAATGCGTTAACATTAACAATTTATTTGTTACAGTGAATTTGTTACAAAATACATTTGTTACAGTATTTATTCATCTTTGTTAACGTTAGTCAATAAAAATTGACTGTTCATAGTTAGCTCAGGACTATTAACTAACATTAATTGATAATGGATCATAAATGTTGGAATCAACATTAAGATTAATAAATGCTTTAGAAGTTTTTTTATTGTTAGTTTATGTTAACTACTGTAGTTAACTAATGTTAACAAATGGCCCCCTATTGTAAAGTGTTGCCATTTTAGCACATTTCTCTTACTTTTTTCTTGATTTGAGTTCTTGATTAATTTATTTGTCCAAGTACGACCTGCTACAAACACAGTTTTTTCATAGTATAAGTAATAAAGCATATAGCCTACTTTATCATTTACAAAAAAGAACAGATGTGAATGTTTCAATTAATAAACTATGCATTTCTAACTACACGATTATGAGTTACTGAATGAAATAACAAACAAATAGAGCATGAGTTATCAAAACAGTTTGTTCATATGAACTCAGTTTGTTATTTCTATAGTGAAATCCTCAGGATGTTTGATTAAATGCAAAAGTCATAACTTACCTGTTGCAGAGAACAGCAAGAAGAAGAATGCAGCCCCAGTATAATGTAATCTAATGTGCCTCATCCTGAAGAAAGAGAAATGGGAATTAAATTCACTGAATGATATTCCTCTGGCTGAAGAGCTTCTGTAATAGTCTCTAGAGAGGTACTGATGGTAAATGAAGCTGATCCTTTATTTGCACAGCTTTTATCCAGAGACAGAATGTCAGCTGTCAATCAGTCGTGGATGGAGGCGTGGCTTTATGAACCTAAAGTTAGTAACGGATGATGAATCATACTAACTCCTTTGTTTTACTCTATCCTCTTTCTCACTGTTCTTCAGTGAGACCCGTGGACTGCTGTCAAAGCCTGTTTGACCTGCACGCACTGCACTGCTGTGAAATGTGTTTGCGTCAAAACGCTGTATGTTGGCTGTGTTTAACCAGGGGTTAATGTGACTGACAATGGTCTGCTGCACCCTCACCAGAGGGACACAGGTTACCTTACTGCACAGGATGTGTTGCCATGGAAACATACGGCCAACAATGAGAAACTGCTTTTCGGGCTTTTTATGACCTCCTTATGATCACATTTCCGGAATAATAAAAATCTGGTGGGGTGACATGATTACGAGTTTTTACTGAAAATTTGTGTATGAGGGTTACTAGTTAACTAAAATTAAATAAACAAATTTGAAATAAATTAATAAGCTATTTCAAATAAAGTAAACATTAAAAACACTTTTTTTATTTTATTTTTATTTTTTTAATTGATATAAAAACCTTCACCTTTCTTTATTTCAGCTAGACGCCAATTTGGTAACGCTTTATTTTAAGGTGTCCTTGTCACACGTTACATTTACTTACTATTATAATAACAATAAATTATGCATAATTACATGCAAGTTACCCTAAGACAAAACCTAATTTTAACCCTAACCATATACAGGTGCATCTCAATAAATTAGAATGTCGTGGAAAAGTTCATTTATTTCAGTAATTCAACTCAAATTGTGAAACTCGTGTATTAAATAAATTCAATGCACACAGACTGAAGTAGTTTAAGTCTTTGGTTCTTTTAATTGTGATGATTTTGGCTCACATTTAACAAAAACCCACCAATTAACTATCTCAACAAATTAGAATACTTATTAAGACCAATAAAAAAAACATTTTTAGCCTTCTGGAAAGTATGTTCATTTCAGTCTGTGTGCACTGAATTTATTTAATACACGAGTTTCACAATTTGAGTTGAATTACTGAAATAAATGAACTTTTCCACGACATTCTAATTTATTGAGATGCACCTATAGTAAGTACATGTAGCTTATTAATATGATGAAGTTTTTTCAGCTGAGTCCTTAGTCATCTTCAAGAAACGACTAAAAACACACCTGTTCCACCTTTATTTGACCCTCTAACTCTAGCACGTTTCTATTCTATTTTAATTCTACTTTATCTATATTTATCTTCTTTTTTTATAAAAAAAAAACCAACAACAAATAAACTCCACTAGCTTTCTATTTTTTCTATTCTATCTACTTGTTTTTCTTTGTGTGTGTGTGTGTGTATATATGTGTGTGTCATTTGTAAGTCGCTTTGGATAAAAGCGTCTGCTAAATGACTAAATGTAAATGTAATATTAGTACTTAAATGTACAATTTCACTGTAACAAAGACACATTAAAATAAAGTGTAACTGCAAATTTTCATTTCTCCCACACAGCTATAACAAAGGGTGTGCAAAAAAGGGCATATGCTGGTCACGCCAGATCCCTCCGCCACAGTTTCACTGATGTCAAGTCATATGAGTACAGTACAAGCCACCATTGTGCCACCTGCTGGACAAACATTAGGGTGAATTCAGGTAAAGTGGGTCTTTAACCTTCTTTGTTTTCACTTTCAGAGCATAATAATGGCCTTTAATTAAAGGGACACTATTTCTTTAAACAATAAAACAGTTTGGCCAATGCAATATGACACTGGTTATTGTGGCTACAAAGGAGGACTTGCTTATCATAGTAAACACTTTGACATTAAGATTTTCTTGGTTGTTAACTGTAAACAAATATTATTGTGACGGTACTTGTATTATTTGTTACTTCAGATTAACATGGATTAAAATGCACATCTAGTAATATTACTGGTCCACTCTGTGTGCTAGATAAAGTGGGCCACCTTGAACCTTCACTAATTCTATTCATGGTCGTTAAAAAAAATAATTTTTTCTGATTATTGTATAACAGACATGCAAAACTGACTTTTTTAGAAAACAGAAATGAGTGTGCAGTCAAGAAATTCAAATCAGAGAAGGAAGGTTAGAATAGAAGAGCAAAAAGGATGGAAGGGGAAGCATGAAATTGAAGGAATTATTTTATTTTATTATTATTTTTTTTTTTTTGTTGAAGTTTTCAAAAAATGTAGATGCAGAGTATAAAGCTTTTAAATATTGTTACTTGCTATTAAAGTTAATTTTAAGTGTTTAGAGAAAATGTAGACAGGAAATTTTTTTTTACCATATAGTTATATATTAATTGTTCCTCTTATTTAGTTTTTTTGTTTAGCCTACTTGTTATAACATGTTCTAGTCACATTTTTAATATGTTGTAGAGTTTATTTTAGTACATATTCTGAGAGTTGTTTTGAGTTTAACACATGAATTGAGTGAACTTTACTCATATATGTTTTTGGGCTTGTTAAATATGTTGCTGAAAAATTGTTAATAATAATAATAAAAAAAAAGAATAAAGAAAATAATCTCTTGGTATCTATGGTATAATGACATGTTCAAGTGTCCTACTTTACTGAATTCACCCAGTATTTAACTGTTTCCAATGTAACACATTCTTCTCCTTCAGGGGGCGCCTTCAAATCTCAAGACGTTGTAATCGTTTAAATCTATTATGAACCTTAAATGTTTCAGGATTAGTGCTTGCCTTATTTATGAAAATCCGCATAATCTCTATGAAAATGATTAAGGGAATCTTTTAACTTTTATAATAGTCTTATATTGTAATCTGATTGGTGCATCCTGACCAGTGTTGAGCACTTGGGTAAAATGTACCGTGTGACAACCCCTTTAAAATGGGATAACGGTTATTTATATATTTTGACATTTGATATTCAGCATCGTATATCTATATATGTCTCGGTTAATAAGACTGTTATGATAAATATTTCGACTACTAAGTTAGACCACGCCCCCGGTGCAAACCCCGCCCTCCGATGACGCGCAGCCTTTGAAACACACGAAAGGAGTCTCGTACTGTAACAGATATACTCGATATTTCTCATCAACACTTATTTCAGTGATATGTCTCAGGTAGGGATATTTTATATGCTGCATCCAAAAAAGTTTACAGCATCATTAAGATCAATCTTATTTTTTAATCCTATTAACAATTGTTAATAACCTCTTAATAACACTCGTAGTAGCAATGTAATACTAATACAATGTAGTAGCAATAATGTGTAATACTAGGAACTTCGTAGCGAGCAGTGTTTCTGTCTGTTCTGTAAACTGAGGCGGAAGACACGTGCACATGTGCCGGATGTAAACACAACTACCACGTGTTCAAGTGCCAGTGCCTTACACATGGCCTCACACTCAGCAGGCGGCTGGTGATCTGTGCGCATGTTTATTGGGCTCATAAGAGGCTGTTTTGTAAGGACAACTCCATGAATGCGATCCATTGAACCCGAGACACATTTTGAGGTAAGCTGTTTAGTGACTAATCTAAATCAATGCTTTAAATGAAGTCAGCCTTTGTGGATCTGGCTGTGAATGTTTTTGTTGCTAATGGCTAGTGATATGCTCGCTGACACGTGATGGCTGTACAGGTCCGGTCATGGCAGGCAGCAGAGGTCGAGGCAGGAGCCAGTTTAGCTTCAGTGTGGACGCGCTGGGGTTTGGGAGAGGGGACTCCTTACCCTCTTCTGCACATACACCTTCTCCTCTTTTTCCTGTAAGTGTTTAATGGCAAAGCGAGTGTCTTTACATTGTAATATAACTTCATAGGTTGTTATTACACATATATTGTGCTATAAATGTCTTATGATTGGTTTGTAAAAACTGATTATTCTGAGAAAAGCTTTTTTTTTTTTTTTTGGAAAGTGTGGTTTAACTGTCCAAAACAAAAACATCTTGGGGTTTGCTGCATGTAACATTTGTTTTGTTTTGTTTTATTTTTGTTTATCATTTTATTTGTAATTTCTAATTATTCTTTAAATTTTAAAAGCTTGTTTTTCTTTAAGACAATCAATGTATGCCATTTACCTTTCTTTCTTTCTTTCTTTCACAAAAAGAGATATTTGGTGTATGCTGTTTTGGTCCTTTTTGAGTTTGGCAGTAATAATTTAATATGCTTTAATTGTTATCCAATTACTTTTTTATTTTAAAATGAATATTCTTCTTTTTTGCGTTTGGCAGTTGTTACGGAGTAACCAGAACATGAGACGTGCGGATCCATGTGCAAAGCTTTTATTAAGACGTGGTCATAAACAGGCATAGATCAGGCAATGGCAAGCTGGTATGTAGAAGGCAAGGCAAGAGCAGTCCAGTAAACAAGCGAGGGTCAGTCGACGACAAACATAATCCAATAGGGCGAGACTAAAGAGATAATCCAGGTACAAAGCAAAGGTCAAGGCAGGGGCAAACAGTATCCGAACAGGGCAAGACGAGAGAGGTAATCCAAAGTACACAGGCAAAGATCAGAAGATGAGGAAACAGACAAGGCAAGACTAGGCTAGGCTAGGACTATGAAACTTCAAGTAGGCTCCGTAACGTAGCTATCACAACTAGTGATATGCGCATACAATACTTGGCAGCCTGAAAGGGATCTGAGTGAGTGTTATATAGTGAATGTGTGATTGGTTACAGCTGTGTGCAATTAGTGCAATGGATGATGGGATATGTAGTCCGGGATGACATGTAACAGTTTGTGTAGTGCGAGAGTCAATGTAATGGAAGGGTGACCTCTGGTGGTGATTGAATGGAAGTTCATAGACCGAATTCGTGACAGCAGTAATTTTTTTTTGTAGTTTTAATATTTTTTTATAATTTAACCATTTTTTATTTATTATATGTAGAATAATTTTAATTACTTTTTATTTAATTATTTTATTTTCATTTACCTTTATGACTTACTTTTTTTTTTCTTTAAAACAATAATTATTTAATATAAATAATCATATTACTTTTCATTCAGCCTATGCAGTTTAGGCCAGTACCTCTGCATACAGGAGAAGAGGTGGACTACATGCTCGCTCTTAAGCAGGAGCTGAGAGCCTCCAGCAAGAACCTGCCGTTCCACATAAAAGCAGCCAGAACAAAGACAGGTAAGACTGGTAGAGGTGTATACATTGATACATTGGTGTATAAAGAGTGGCCAGTTCTGAGCACAACAGATGAAGATCCAGCGAGGTCTCCTGGATTTGCATTTGAACTGTCGGCAGTCACTTAGATATTCAAAGCCAACGACCCTTCAGGCATTGATCGTTGAAGATCAGGTTTGAGCGGCTCTCTTTATTGTTTTCTTTTTTTAGATGTGGCTCATTACTCTGATAAATATCAAAATGGAGAGACGAAGAACAACTGCATTGAATGGAGTCCAGGTGAGTACTATCAGTACCATTCTTTAGTTATTGTGCTACAGCTGACTTGCTTTATAGTCAAATGCTTTTAAAAGTCAGTTCTCCCTAAAAAATATTCAATTTCATTCCAGACTGGAGCCGAATGCCAAAAGAGCTTTGCATTAAAGTACGGAAACCACGGAAAACAGGTGAAAGAAACTCTATTATTATCATTACTAATGTGTGTGGGTTCACAGTCTTGATACTAATGCTAATACATGTTATAATATGAGTTTTTCAATACTTCTGCTCCATTTTAAGTCATAGGTGCCAAGCCACAACTCACACGAAAACCAAAAGTAGCTGCTGGTAAAGAAGAGGTTCTCCAAAAACTAGAGGTATATGTTCACAGAAAACACAATGTTTTCTCGCTGTTTAATGTGTATGCAGCACATTAGTAATGTTAATATTGTGGAATGACGTTTAGACACTTGAGAAAAGAGAAGAAGAGCAGCATTCTGAGGAAGAGGAGGATGAAGAGAAGAAGAAACAGAATGAGGAGGAGCCAGATGCGGATGAAGACTATGATGAAGAGGACCTTGAAGATGTAAGAAAAAAAAAATCAGAATTTAATAGAAAACATACATTCTTTGTGGTGTTGTCATGTGTATATGATATATTCTTTCCCTCTTTTCCTTTTCTCGAACACAAAAGGAGATTTTTTGTTGTATGCTGCTTTAGTTTTTTGTCAGTATAAATCACTATTACTTTTCACTGCATGGAAAAAGTGTCTTAGCCTTATTGCAAAATATCTTCTTTTGTGTTCCTCAGAGCAAATAATGAGGCCGTAGGGTGGCAGAAATGTTTTTTTTTTTTTTTTGGGATAATTATCCTTCTTGTAGTAATATCCTAGCAACTTAGCAAAGCATTTTTAACAGCAGAATATGTGTGCTGTGTTTCAGGAGACAGACTACATCATGTCTTACTTTGACAACGGAGAGGATTTCGGAGCAGACAGTGATGACAATATGGATGAAGCTGTCTACTAATGGGTTTTAAGAGGCATTTTATTTAAAGCTCTTCCCACTGAATGTGTCTATGAGTGAGACTGAAAGTATATATTTCAAGAAGAAGTGTCTTAATTCATGTGCCATCTTGACACATGCTGAATCTGATTGTGACTGACTAATGTTGTTAAGATCCAGAGAGTCAGTGCTGCTACTAAAGATGCTGTTCTGGCATTTCTAAGCTGCTTCACATAAACAGATACTGCTGCTATTCCAACAGTGCTGGGATGTTACTCAAAGATAGTCTGCTTTTAATTTCTGTTTTATTACTGTAATTGGAAAGCTCTATTTAAAAAGGCAGTGCACAGAAGCCATCATTCCTTTTTGTCAGACAGGGGAGGACAATACAGACCTGCATATTTAATGCATCTCATGTTTACACCTGATAATGCCTTGAATTGTGAATTACACCTGTAAGAGTGACTTCATCTGTTTTAAGCTTTGTGTGTGTGTGTGTGTGTGTGTGTGTGTGTGATAGAGTGTGTGTACTGGTTTATATAACCTGGTGGGGACTTAAACCTGACTACACACAGACTCATGGGGACTCGTGTCACGGTGGGGACCTAAATTGTGGTCCCCACGGGTACAAAAGCGTATATATAATACAGAATGAAGTTTTTTGAAAATCTAAAAATGCAGAAAGTTTCCTGTGAGGGGTAGGTTTAGGGGTAGGGTTGGTGTAGGACAATAGAATATACGGTCTGTACAGTATAAAAACCATTACGCCTATGGAGAGTCCCCACAAGGATAGCAAACCAGACGTGTGTGTGTGTGTGTGTGAAAAATAAATATTATGGAAAAATGAATTAATGGTACAGAAAATTCGATTTTTAGGCAGCATGTTGAAGTCATCTGATGCATTTTTATTCTGTAGTTTGACAAACCCAGTCTTTATTCACTTCCATGAAGGTCGTGTTTGTAATGAATGTGAGTAAATGAGGACATTTTCATGTTAAGAGTAGTTTTTCTTATGTATCACCAGGCAGCCGGCAGGTGGCGATATTTCTCTTCAGTGTATGAACTATAACTATAATGAGCTCTTACAATAAATCACCTGATTATAGAGCTTTAACTAACCAGTGTTTTACAGTGCAGGCAAGATTTCACAAAGCAATATCAAAATAACTTAAGCTTTAGTGCTTTGATTTCAGAACTGCACATGCTGGACTTTACAAAACGTCAACTTGTTGCATCTTTGTATGCTATTTAATTTTGTTTTTTTGTTTTTTTTATTCAGTTGAAATGCATGCTATAGTCCAGGGTGTGTTTAGTGCAATGCTATTCATCTTATTTTACTGCATCATTCCTCAGTGACAGATTTATGCAGTTTGCTAAAAGTTAAGCTAAAAAATATCAGCTCCCCTCTAACATTAAGCTTAATTCATTTCAAATCATTTTGAAGTACTTTATTGGCATGACTGTGTTCACATGCTATTCTGCCAAAGCATTATACAAATATGTAAGTAATGACACGAAAAAGGAAATATGCAATATAATAATGGCAAAAAATAGCTTCAAACTAATGGAATAATAATAAAAATAAAATGTATGTATATACACTTACATAAATCTATATAACAGACACTTGTCAAGACAAAATGAAGAAAAAAAACTGGAATGTGTGTACAGTGATGGTCTTTGAGGTTTGAGGTTTTACAAAGTGTTCAATCAGATGTGCTCCATTTCAGTGGCCTGAAATCAGTGAAATGTAGAAGAAAAACAACCGACGTGCTGCATGGGGTTATAATCAGAGAAACTGAGGCGCATGCAATTTGTTTGAAACCTCTGACTTAAACTGATCCATTTCTCAATGAACTGTCCTCTTTAGCTCTTATAGACTGTGCATGCATTGCATCACGTACATTGGCCCCTACACGCAGTTGTATATACACACAGCTACAGCGTGCAAAATATGCATGCAGCATTTTCCGTCAGGGCCTGAGAAAAACATGTTATTCAATGTATGTCACACATCGTGAAGGACAGGGGTGGGAAATGTAAGTCAACAAACTGAAGCAAACTCAGATGTCACCTGCACTGTATTACTGTACTATTACTGTATTTTTTTTCTCAATGGAACAGTTTTTTGAACTTTTGGACAAAATCTTTAAAAAAATCTAAGAAAATTTTTTGCATATGTGTGATAAGTATGATAATGAGAATATAGAGCTTATATTCGAGGAGGGAAAATAAGTCAGTTTTATTCAAAGGCCCAAAAAGAGCAAAATATGCAATTTGGTGCAGATGCTAATATTAATATGGCCAAAAAGTAAGATGAATTTCTCATAGCTTGTACTGTAAATCAATGTCAGTTGTCACTCTAATTCTCCCAATTATATGTCTAAGTAAGATTTTTGTATGCTTAGTTTTATGATCAAAGCTCTTTAGTTGCACAAAATGGTGTAGGACAATTAAGTTCCTTCAGTCCAGTAAGTGTTCATCTTGAAATATTAATAACTATCTAAAAGACATTCTTACATTTACTTTCTAAAATCTGTGAAGATTTCACAGAAAAAAAGACACATGAATCACGGCAGTTATACTAAAAGGCATTTTACTTGTTTATTAAGTTTGAATTGTCAGTCAGACAAAAGAAGGCCTGTAGTTGATTGTGTACAACAGGTTTTTTTTAAGGAAAGTTTCAATTCTATTAATAATTTAGAGGCATTTGCCTATTAAATATGAAGCAGTAGGCTTTATATGGTTAAGCTTTGCATCTGGGTTGGTTGTCTTCCATGTTAAAACTTCAACATAATGTCTTTGTCATTAAATGTGGATTTACAAGGTTATGCATTACCCATTTTATGCTTTCATTAAATATACCCTTCATCTTTTTATCAATGAAAGTTGTTTGGCTGACACATTTGTCGGCCCAAATGATAGCGTCTGCAAATGACAGCAGGACCAAACTGTGTTGTAGTGAGGCAGGGGTCTGTGAATTTATCGCTTCCAACAGCTCCCATATATTTCACAACCATTCACCCTGTCAGCAAGCTTAATGTGGAGGATCCCAAAAATATGTCTCGGTATGCCATGCATGCAAGCGGCCTTGACAAGGAAGAATTGTAGAGATTCTCCATTAGTAAGACTCATGGTACTAAATTATGTTTCTTGGCTATCTGGTTACGTAAATAGGTGAAACTGCCTGTTGACAAAATGTGGGAACGTGTACGTGTGTTTGTGTGACTTCCTCCTCAGCAGAAGCCCTGCTTGTGTACTCAGCGTGCTTTTGTGGTCAGACAGAGAGAACACGGTGTACATCCACAAAACGTATGCATTTCACATTTGAACATGTCATTTTTGCTGTGTTCATCTCATTTACCTGAGATCAACTGACCAGATGTTGACTGCTATTTGTTTGGTACATAAAACCAGTGCTTTGAATGTCATAAATGACAAGCAGGATGCACATAAAAGTGAAGTAAACTCACACAACATGTTCTGTAGGTCAGTATCAAGCTGAATGCTAATGCTAAAGATAACAAACCCCACATATATGTGACCTGCCCTGCATAACCTCCCAGTTCACTTAACTTGCCAGCGTCACTCATTTCAACATGACAGATTGCCGCCAAATCTTGATTGAGTTCCTTCCCAGGGACAGGGTGGTACTGTAACACCATTATGTAACTTTCTTTTGTTATTATAGGTGTATAATTGAAGGATTTGTGTTGGCGAGACACTGTCTGCTCTCCCATTGGTTGTCGGCGAATCACGTTGCTGCTCATTTGCATGAATGTAAATTATGGCGACACTACCAACATTTTTAGACGTGAAAATTAAAATGTCCTTAAAATCAATCATTGCAATTTATTATGCAATGAAGGCACAAAATATAATATGCTAAATGAATAACACCTTGTGGAAAAAAGAAGCACACTTAATTGTATTGAATGTGCACTTAAAATAAAAGGCCACTTAAGTGCACATAAAGAGAGTTCACTTTCATGACTGTTTCTTAACACACTTAAATACACAAAATGCACTTTATAATAATGTCAAATTAATAGATTTACTTTACCGTGTAAATCATCGTGCATTAATAATCTTTGACTTTTGTGGTGATTTAAAGAAGTACGCTCGTTTGATGTGTTGACTAACATCTGAAACACATGTAAAGCACTTGATTAATAATTATACTGCAGTGAGCTACTTGAAATTACATTTAAAGAAATTTCATTAATTTAGCATATTTTAAATGTTATAAATTGCAACTTCCTCAATACAATACAAATGTGTAATTACAAATATATTTGATTAAATGACTGATTAAATGTTTCAGTAGAAATGACATTAAAGGGGTCATATGATGCGATTTCAATTTTTCCTTTCTACGGCCGCGCCGTTCTCAAGCCCACCGCCTCTGCGCACTCAAGCCCGCCGCCGTTCACTCTAGCCCGCGGTGTGTGACGCTGTGTTTCGTTGTGAAAGTGAAACTACTTTGTTTTGTCTTCCAAAAGAGGACACGACTAGAAATCAGTGGTTAAGTTGTATTTACAACACTGTTCCAGAACACTTCAACCCAAATATAGATAGTAATAGGCCTGGTGACTTTCGTCAAATCAAATTGTGCATAGAAAACTTTAACCGCCAACTGTTTATCATGGCTGCTGGAAGCGCATTCTTCAAGCATCAATACAGTCGCATCTTCCTCTAACTTAATATGTTAAGGTAAATTTCGGATTTGTGTGAACGTGTACGTGTGTTTGTGTGACTTCCTCCTCAGCAGAAGCCCTGCTGTGTACTCTGCGTGCTTTTGTGGTCAGACAGAGAGAACACGGTGTACATCCACAAAACGTATGCATTTCACATTTGAACACGTCATTTTTGCTGTGTTCATCTCACTTACCTGAGATCAACTGACCAGATGTTGACTGCTATGTGTTTGGTACATAAGCTTTGTAAAAATCGACGTGTTTCAGAAAAGCGGGGCATAGAGAAGAAACAATAATGTACAGTATGTGGAAAATAATTTTTTTTTACCTTAAACCGCATAAACACATTTAATTACACCAAATACACAAAATACTGTTCTTTTTAGCAGCATCATATGACCCCTTTAAAGTTTATTTTAGTTCATCATAGATGCTTGTCAGTACATTAACTTTATCTATATTTCAAAAACAATAGCAGTAATTATAAAATTACATATAAAGGTGTACCTAAGTCCTACTTAATTTTCAATAGAAATTACATTATGTATATTTTAGTTTATCATAAATGCTTGTCAGTACATTCAGCAGCACACTTCATATTTCAAAGACAATAGAAGTAATTATGAAATTGCATATAAAGATGTTCTTAAGTCCTACTTAAGTGGGTCAAAAATAAATATAAAAATATATAAATTTAAACTATAATGCATTTAAATTTAATTGCAATTAATATGCAATAAAGTGTCTTAAAACACATTAAGTTCATAGTTAAGTATATTCTTTTAAAGCTTTTGTATTTCTTTTACTCTTTTTAAAAGTATACTTAAGTGTACTACTTCACA